TACCTCACAATTTCAAGTATATTGGTTAAAGCATTATGAAGAGTCTTGCTTCAATAGTGGGGAAAGATGACCCTAATCAAAATGCTGCCCTAGTCCCATATAACAAAGCTTAAAATCAAGACCCAGTGCTGCAGGTGTAACCCAGTGGTCCAGAGCTTGTCTAGCAAGTGTGAGACCCTGGATTCAATACCTAGTACTTTAAAAACAAACAAAACCATAACAAAAACAAAAACAAAACAAAAGATGATAAAAGTATTTCAAGAACAAAGTATTTTCAACTTTGTTTTCAACAACTTCAGTTAAGAACAAAGCTATATATCATATCATTTATAGGAAAACAAAAGTATCTAGCATGCAAAATATTATATTCACAATGTCTATCATCCCATAAAAATGATCATGCAAGTATGCTGCCATTAAAACATGACAGAAGTCATGGACAATACTTGCACAAATGGGGATGGCTGTATTCCAATTAAAATTTATCCATAAGGAAAAAAATCTGGCCATATTCAGCCTAAAGACGATAGTTTCCTGACCCTAAGTTAAAGATTCATATTATAAGCACTAAAGAAATTACTAAACTAATAACCAAAATGCTATAGTTAATATTGATAAGAAAACAGCAGTGATTAAAAAATAAAATAGTACAAAAATTATTTAAAAGGAAAAAAAAAGAATATATGAGACTTAAAAGAGTATAAGTAGCAACTGGTAGATTTAACCCCAAACATTTCAATGATCATATGAAATGTAACATATTTAAAATCCCAGTTAAAGATATTTCATATTGGATAAAAAGCCAGGAAACTTTATGATTCCTTAAATACCACACATTAAAATATGAAGATACAAATGGGTAAAAAAATTAAAATTTGGAAAATGATATACTAAACCAATACTAATAGTTTTTTTAAGCACCTAGAGTACTTTGATATTAACATCAAAGTGGATTTCAAAGTAAAAAAATGAAAAAGTAAGTCAACATAATGATAAAAGAGTCAATCCATCAAGAAGAAATAATGTTCGTAAAGGTTTATGAACCTGCCAGGTGCAGTGGAGCACACCTGTAATCCCAGCAACTCAGGAGGTTGAGGCAGGAAGATTGCGAGTTCATAGCCAGCCTCAGCAATGGTGAGGTGCAGAGGAACTCAGTGAGACCCTGTCTCTAAATGAAATACAAAATAGGGCTGGGGATGTGGCTCAGTGGTTGAGTGCCCCTGTGTTCAATTCCCAGTACGGGGGGGGGGGTGGGGGGTGGGCGCGGGGACAGATTTATGAACCTAGTGACAGAACTGCAGAAATAAATGAAACAAAATTTGATAGAGTTTAGTAACAATACAGTAGACCAAATGCCACTATTAACAAACTTGACCTAGCTGACATTTATAGAACATTCTACCACCCAATAACAGAACAAATATTCTTCTCAAAGGCACATAGAATATTTACTGAGACACTGTATTTTGAAGCATACAGTTTATTCTGAAGCGTAAAGCAACTATAAATTTAAGAGAATTCAAGTCATAAAAAATGTTTTATGACTATGGTGACATTAAATTAGAAATCAATATTAGCAAGATATTTAGAAAAGGAACAAATATTTGTAAAATAAATAATGTTTCTAAAAACCCAATAATTTAAGGAAATAAAGGAAAATTAAAAGTATATTGAAAAATGAGCAGGGGACTGCCACATACAAAATTGTGAGAATGACATTAAAGCAGTAATTAGAAGTAAATTTGTACCAATACCCACAATAGAAAAGATGAAAGTCTTTGAATGAATAGCTTAATATTCCATCTTAAAAAATAGAAAAAAGAAAAGCTAATGAAACACAAAGTAAGCAGTAATAAAGGCTAAAGCAGAAAAAAATGAAATGGGGAATGGAAATACAATAGAGGAAAAAATAAATAAAACCAAAATCTGGTTCTTTTACGAGAAAAATTAAATTGATAATCTCCTGACTGGACAAAAAAAGAGAAGACATTTATCAACATTAAGAATAAGAGCAGTGATACCATCAACAACTCCATAGTTAGAAAATAAAAATTATAAGGGAATATTATGAGCAACTTTGTGCCTATAAATTTGGTAACACTGACAGATAATTCCTGGAAGACACAGGCTAGCAAAGCTCACTAAAAAACAAAGAATACCTTAAGTCTACATGTAAATTGAATTTTTTGTTAAACATCATTGTAAACAAAACCCCCAGGCTCTGATGGCTTCACTGGTGAATTGCATCAATCATATAAGAACCATTATCACTGAATCTACATAAACTCTTCATAAACTCTTGAACAGGAAAAGAACAGGAAAAAAATCCTACCCAACTTATCTTATGAGGAAAGAATTACTGTGCTACCATAAATAGAAAATAATATAAGAATATTACAGTCAAATATCCATCATGAAAATATATGCAAAAGTTCTTAAACTTTTAGCAAATAGTATCCAACAATATCAAAAAGTATACTGCATCATCATGAAATGGGGCTCATATACAAATGCAAGTTTGGTTCAACATCTGAAAATCAATTACTGTAATTCACCACATCAAAAGACTAAAGATGAAAAAACAAAATCAACTCAATAAAATGGAAAAAGTATTTCACAAAACATAATATCCATTAAAAAACTCTTTACAAAGCAGTAGAAAAAGAAAAACATCTAAAAATACCAATGTTTAACTTAATGGTTTATGGTGAAATTCTGCTTCCCCCTAAGATCAGAACCAAGGCAAGAATGTTTGCTCCCACCAGTCCTATTAGACTGGAGGTTAAAGGCAATGTAGCAAAGACAAAAGAAATAAACAATGTTCATAATCGAGAAGAAGAAGTAAAACTACTTGGTCACAGAAAAGAAATACAATGTCCTTGAAATCTATTTTTTTAAAAAAAGTTCTAGAAGTAACAATTATGTTGAGCTACATAAAGGTATACAAATTAAACATAAGAGGAATAAGTATTTCCATCCAATTTAAAATTAAGAAGTCTGTTTTATTGATTTTTTATTGATAAAATTTATTGACTTCTTAGCATTAAAATAGGAACCACTTAGAGATAAATTTGACAAAAGATGTGTAAGCCCTATATACCGAAAAAAGACATAACCGAGAGAAAATAAATAACTGGTAAATAAATGGAGAGAGAAATCATGTTTATGGATTGGAAGACTAAATATTGTTAAAATGTCAATTAAATGCAAAGTGACCTATAGATTCAATGTAATCCCAATCAAATCCTATCAGGTTTCTTTTAGAAAGAGAAAAGTTAATCTCAAAATTAATATGAAAATTCAAATGAACCGGAAGAGCCAAAACAACTTTTCAAAAGAAAAACAAAGCTCAAGAATTATACTACCTTACTTCAAGATACATTATAAAGGTACAGTAGTTAAGACACTGTGGGATTGTCATAAAGAGATGAATTAACAGAAGAGAGAATCCAGAAATAGTCCTTCATATATATGATCCTTTGGTTTTCAAATAAAATAAAAAACAATTCAATGAAAAAAGGACAGTATTTTCCAATGATGAAGCTAGAAAAACTGGATATTCATATAAAAGACTTCAATACATACCTAAAACCATATATTAAAATGAGATTAAAATAGATGAGAAATCTAAATGTAAAACCTGAACTACAAAACCTCTATAATATATAGGAGAAAATCTTTACCTGAAATGAGGCAAATATTCCTTAAACAGGATATTATAAACACAATTTATTAATGCAAAAACTATAGTAAGACTTCATAAGAATTGCTAAGAACTTCTGTTTGTCAAGCGGTACCATTAAGATATTGAAAAGACAAACTATGAACTAGAAGAAAATCTGCAACAAACATATATGATCAAGGAATGTCATCTGAATATATAAGTAAATTTTAAAACACAGTAAGAAAAGAAACCAATTAAAATGGGGAAAAGGGTTAAACACATTTTATCAAAGAAGACTGACAGAAAATAGGTACAGGAAAAGATGCTCACATCATTTGCCATTAAGTGTGATGAAATTTATAACTACAATGAGGTACAGATTTATCAGATTTCCCAACTTATAAAAGACTGACCATACCAACATTACTAATGATATGAAGCAACTAAAACTCTTATATGCTGCTGGTGGGAATGTAAGTATATAACCACTTTGGAAAACAGTTTGTCAGTGTCTTTAAAAGCTATAATATCCACCTCGCATATGACACAGCCATTATATTCCTAGGCATTTACTCAGGAGAAATGAAACGTATGTCCATACAATCACTTGTGCATGAATGTTTACAGCAGCTTTATTGGTAATATCCCAAAACTGCAACAACTCAAACATCCATCAACAGGTGAAGAGATGAACAAATCATGGCGTATCCATAAAATGGGCAATGTTACTCAGTAATAAAAATGAACTGTTGATACATACAACAATGAAGGATGAATCAAAATAATTATGATAATTTAAGCAAGACTAAAATTAATATATATTGCATAATTCAATTTACATAACCTCCTAGAAGATACAAACCACATAATGACAAGAAGCAGATTCAGTAGGTTAGGGTAGGAATAAGGCATTACAAAGGCACTTTTGGAGATGATGGATATGCTACTTATTTTGATTTTAATTATAGTGTCAAAATTTATCAAATTGTATATTTAATGTGTACAGTTAATTGTATGTCAATTATACTTCAATAAAGCTATATTAATGAACACATTAAAAACTAACCTGAAAGGCATTTAGGTATCTTGAGGAGCCAAAGTTCTAGGCTTGATCCTATCTACTTCCATCAGTTACTCATATGATTTTTGTGTTTAAAAGTATAATGAGTAATAGACTAAGATGATTTAAATGACATGCAGACAGAAAATGCCATTGACTATCACATCACTAAATGTTATGTAATGAAACAATAATTACCAATTGAATTTCTATAGGAAAATATGAGTTTTCTTAATTTTTGTTTCTATAAAACAGTAAAAATTTATACATACTCACCTCTTTGGATAATCTTGTAAAGACATCTCCTCCCCTGAGAAAATCCAATATTAAATACAGCTTCCCTTCAGTCTGAAAAGCTAATTATAAATCATAATGTAGTAACAGTATAATCTAAAAGGCTTAAAAGCTTAATATACTTTTAAGTTAATATGTCTGTTTAGAATCTTATCCCTAAACACTATAAAGCAATTAAATATTTACTCACATGATCCATTGTTGGATAACATTTCAAAATTAAATGCATTGCTTAATCCAGTGTTAAAATAGCTATGAATTCCTTTTCAGAACATAATCAACTTTGCCTGTGGCTTTACGCCTTTACACAGAAACTTCTATCACCACTGTTTCCCTGATTTTTTGTAGTATGTTTTTCTACCAGTCTGAACTTTGCCCCCCAGCCATCTTTTGAAAATCAATTAATTCCATAAAGCTCAACAAAAATGATACCTCCTTCATTAATCCTTCCATGATTTCTCCCTTTTCTTACTTTTCTATAGCATCCTTAATCCCATCCACATGAAAATTATTTGCTATTACTCTTGATATCTCATCATACTTTATGTATGCCTCTTTTATGATACTTATTTCATTTTGATTTATAATTTTTTTTTCATTTGCATGTCTATCTTCTCTATAGAGTATAAATTTCTTGAGGTTCAAGACTTTAATTCCATAATCACTGCATTTAGTACCGTGTTTTGCATAAATAGATGCTTAATGATTAATGACATACTGGAGATTAAAAGTCCTCAGATAATACTACTTATATTCTATAGGATAACAAAGAGTGAAGGAATAATGGATGCACATTTTTTTGTAGGTTTCTTAAAATACAACTGGGTAGGGCTGGGGCTGTAGCTCAGTGGTGAAGCACTTGCCTAGCATGCGTGAGGCACTGGGTTCGATCCTCAGCACCACAAAAAATAAATAAATACAGATACTGTGTGTTCATCTACAACTAAATATAAAATATTTACCAGTAAATATTTTAATGTAATAGTTGTCGAAATTACTCTAAGTATAAAAAATAGCTGCTCCTAATTTTTTAAATGTAGAAAAATGACAGTGACACAGTAAACTGTATCAGTAGTTTAATTTTATCTTTTAGTTCCCCCGAGAACCATAATCTCATCCATAACTTAACCCTGGAGCCATGATTCAAATTCAGAAATACCTGACTCCAAAGCTCCTATTTTTTTCTATGATACTCAGTATTTTAAATGATAATTTGTTACTTCTATGTATAAAAAATAGTTCAAATAGACTAATGTAACTACATGGTCCTCTTGAACAAAACCAGGAAATAATTAATATTGTTATTATGAACAAATACCCAAATATTTTACATAAATTATCACAGTAGCATATTGCCTGAGATCACTGGAGGTGCAGACTAGTATAGGAATATTTCTAGACAAGTAAGTAGAAGACAATATCTTGTTACTTTGGACAAATTAACGAACATAGACAATAAAACAAATAAAACTAAAAGTTAGATGTTTATACTCATTTCAGATAAATACATTTTACATAGTTGAATACATTAATATGCTTGAAGTATTTGTTTCTTATTATTTTACTGTGTAAAAGGGAATCTTCATTTTCTAATTCTCTAAATAATAAGGATTACATACCATAGTGCAGTTTGACAATAAATGGATGATTTACTTCCACCAGTATATCCCTCTCCATCTTTGTCCGAACTCGGTCTCGAACTAAAAATTACAGGAGTAAACTATATTAAACTTGTTGATAATTTCAGTAATGATCTAATCAATGATTTACCAAACAAGAATATAAAAAATATATAACTTCATAGGTGCCTAAATTTACAGTATATATATTCCTAGATAATAATGACCATATTCTCAGAACATCAACACATTCAATATATATCTAGAGATAGGATACAGTGGCATAAATCAATATTTGCCTACTATGTATTTCTTGTGTATAAGCCTTTAATTGTGCAAATGAGTATATCATTTAAAACTGAGCTTATTGCTATTTCTATCACAGCCTAAAAGATAGTATAAAGTTTATGTGGGTGATTGTGCTTTCTTAATATGTAACACTAACACAGATATTACAGGAAAAAAACCCCAAAAATCAATGAAAGAAAAGAGTATATCTTGATAAAATTAAATTAAATATGTCACATTTCTAAGCATGAAATATTTACCCAGATATACTATCTTTAATCACTTACTTGCTGGTTAGAAAACTTAACAATTATTAATGTTAAGAAGAAACTACATCTACTCACATTATACATGCAATATATAGCATATTTTTTAAACAAACTGTGTTTTAATAAATTTTCTAATTTTCTACCTTTTAAAGAAGCTTTTTTTAACACCTTCATTGCATAGAGCTGCCCAGCATCAGGTCCAGTCTTCTTTCTAACCAGAAACACCTAATAAGAGAATTTTTTAAAAAGTGAAATTCAAGTCATTGTTCGTGTGTGTGTGTGTGTGTGTGTGTATTCTTTTTAATGTTGATGGACAAGTACTATCACTTAGACAAGAGCAAGAAGTTCTGGTATGCTATTGCAGTCAAGTAACTACAGATTTAAAAAAATAGGCTATATGTTTCAAAAAGCTAGAAAAATGAAGACATACTTGGCTACCCATAAACTCACTAGCACCTCTTTATTCTTGAATTTTCTCTAATGTTATAAAGATAGACCTTTCCCATAAGTATACTGTAATTTATATTTTTAGTTAATATACTCTCTCAATCTGCGTCACTGAGTAAAATCACACTATGCATAATACCACTTTAGAAATGAAAATTTTAAAAGGAGATGACACGGTAATATACTTTGAGAAGTTTGTGATGTAAGAAATTAAAAAAAAAAATGAATGACTAATTTGAGGTGGAAACCTCCTTCTAAGACCCAAGTCCATTTCCATGTCCTTAATAAAGCACAAACAAATCTTATTACTGTGAATTTAATACCTCCATTTCTATTCCCTTATTGGTCTATTTTAGAAGTTACCAGGCATTTTATTTTGTAGAAAGAAATCAGAGGCAATGCTTATCTTCTGTCTGCCACATGAAAGAATCAAGGTGACACATTATCTCAATAAACAAGTAAATGTTAACTCTTTAATATTACTAGCAAACTTAATTTATATATATATATATATATATATATATATATATATATATTCAAATTCAGAATATGATTCATTAAAAGCTAGATTTTGACAAGGCTTCAGTTATGAAGAGAAATACCAAAAGATTATAATTTTATAAGATGTATTATAAAATATTTATTTCCTTTTTAATTAAAAAGTAATTACTGTTCTCCATCTCAACTTGCTACACAAATCCTAATAAGTTCTAATCAAGTGTTGTTGCTTTAATTTAAAATACAACTACATAACACAAACTTATTCACCTAAAATTGCAGATGGGAGAGCTGTTACAATTATTTAATTTTCATGTTTTCTCTTCCCAAAGTATAACTCAAAACCCTTAATTCCATATCATCTATGTGATAATTATATTTCAGCAAAATGGGTAGGAACCTTAATTCAAAATCTATGACATGGCATCGACACCATTTAATAGTAATCAGTTTTCAAGTATAAATGGTAATATATTAAAAATTGGCTACTTCAGCTTACAGCTCAAAAAATTGCACAAGTGTTCTGCTTTAAGACATCTATTGTATTTCAGGATGCAGTTAAACGGTTTTATGTGTACTTCCCATTTCATCATAGAATATTAAAAATTAAGAGTATTTGAAGGTTGAGTTTTCATAAAATTTTAATAAACTGTTTTAATAAATTGTTAATCTCTCATCATGGACATCCTTAAGAGTGGGGCAGTAAGGAATACAATGATTACTGGTACTATTTGGACTCCCTACATTTATTGTGCCAATGTGCCAGCAGTTGTACAATTAATATCTTAGAATTACTATAAAATTGCTTTGACCTGTGCATTCCCTGAAAGGGTCTTGGGGATGTCCAGCTATATGCAAACCATACATGAGAAATACTGTTCAAGAACACAGTCCTTAGTGGAATTGCAAAGAACAGAGTATACAGGGTGAGAAGAGGGAATAAGAACAGAATAGTGTAGGCTTTCACAAATACACTGTCATACACAGCAACCATTTTTTTCCTAGCTCTTCTAACCTTCCTTAGAATCCCAATATGTCACATAATAAAAGTCATCATTCACAAACTAAGTAACCATTTGTTCATTTCCTGATCTGCCTTTTTTCAGCACAAGACATCATATCTCTCTGTCCTTTTTCCACAAACAGAGGTATTTCTGTGGCTCCCAACTATTGTATCTAAAACCAAATCTATCCAAACAGGAGAGAATCCTTTCCAGTTACACTAAAATAATAATAGGAAATTGCCCAGAAAGGAAATGAGTAATTCCAATATATTTTCTGTCAATCACATGGAATTTTATATTTTCCATTAAGAAGTAAGCAATTAGCATTGATTCAGGTGAACTGGAAAGTCACACATATTTAAATGCTGATTACAGAGAAAAGATCAACTGTAGGATATTTTAAAATATAAGAATATATTTTTTAAATAATTACTTGACAGTTATTCAGTTATTTAATAGCACAAGAATACAATTTTTTTAAATTCACTTTAAGTCTTACAATTAAAGGCTTTATTATCACAAAAGTAAAAACATTCTTTTTTATAATTCATGTATGATTTATATAAATATGATTTGGTATATGATGTATACATAAGTCCAATCTCATAATTTCAAACATGTTTTATGTCTGAATTTGTATATAATAATTTAAGTTGTTAGATATTCTACATTTTAAACCGTGCTATTGATCATTAATAGCATAATACTATATATGCTTAGTAAGGAATTTTGTAACTTTCGTGATGATAAAGCTTGTTTTTTAAAGAATAAATTTAATTGACTTTATTAGGATTCCCTCCAATTAAGTACACTATGAAGACATTCAATATCTTAAGAATTTACATGAACTAAAAATCCCATTTATTAACTTTTCAGTGCAAACTTTACAAAAAAATTAAATAAAACTATGCAGTCTCAAAGTTTCTTGGAATTGTTCCTACCCTTATCTGATTCACAACCTTTTCCAAATTCCTGAGTAGGTTTGACATATAACAAGTCATACCCACACAATGTCTACACAAATGATATATAACACTGATAAGAAAGTATATTCACATCTTAGGAAGGAAAAAAATAATAATATTTCTTTGGTTTGGTTAACGAACTGCATAAACATCACTATTCCATATTTTAGTGTTAGGAATTTTAAAAAAATTAGCATTGTCCTTGTTGAACCAAAGTTCTTACACAAATCTGAGTGTTCTATGAAATTAGGACTACACTGACAACTCACCATCATGTTGCTATATTGATTGTGAAGATATGACTGAAAAAAAGTTCAATAAGTTATACTATCATCTTTATGAAGATCCATGAGAGAAATTTTTCTAGTCTTTTTAATCTGTTTCTACCTGAAAGATACTATCAATAACCACACATTAGAATATATCAGCTTCCCTATATTGGCTGCCAGAAAACTGAAGTCTTCATTTTTGGCCCATTTTTAGAAGTCTTATAGGACCTTAAATCAAATATTTGTGAAAAACAAGATGAATTCTTGGCTTCATCTAATCTTTCCTGCTCTGATATTTCTGCTTTCATCTACTTTGCCACTTATTTTTAATTACATTTTATTTAATATTCATCTATTAATGCATTAAATCCTTTCAATAAGGCTGGGACTAAATAAATGCATATATGAATAAATATATCAAATAACAAAACAATTAATTTTAATGGTTTGAATGTTTGCCTGGTGAGATTTTTAAGTCAAATACTTATACATTTGGTATATAAAAGAAATTCATCTCTGTTCTTCTGAAATTAAAATCATAAAATAGCTAAAAATTAAAAAAATAGAGAAAGAAATACTCTCAGAATCATTCAAATAAAGGTATTTAGAATGCACATGCCTACTCTACAGGCCAATTTGAAAACCACCTATCTACCACCACTAATAGCCCTTTTTAGTTTTTCTCTCCCTGGAACCCTGCCTTATCTGCTGTCTTCAGATATCTCTTTTTACCAATTTACTTCCAAGCCATAATTCATCTCATTTTGTTCTTTGTGTGGCCTGAAAATGTTTCTATATATTTCACATATTATATTCTACAGTGCAGATACATTAAGTTACTTTAAGACAACTAATGTCTCCAATATATTCACCAATACTATTCATACAACTGTTGTGCACATACCAAGTACTCAATAAATGTCTTTCTTTAAAAATGTTCCAGAGCACTATAACTAATCACTGCTCAGTTGCCTTCCTTTTTCCCTTTGAAACTACCTCAACTAGTAAGAAATTAGTTTCTACTTAACTTTCCTCCTCCTTAAATTATTGTTGTTGCTGTTTTACTAAAGGCTGTTACTTGTTGCACATATGCGATAATCATGTCTCAGATGTTATATGTACAAAGGTCAGGAACCAGACCCACATACTATTTTTTCCAAGAAAACATGGTATCAAACACTTAATAAACAATCCTAATAATAAGTGTATGAGTAATTTTTTCAAATTTTTGCTTTCTTAAATTTTCAATTCTTTAAAGGCAGGAATTTCACATAATACCTATCAGCCAGTACCTACCCTTGTTCTACTATATACATCCATGATCTACTTCACTTTAACATATGATAGATAAACCTACAAATTCAAACATCAACTAAAATATAAATTCTAACTTCAAGGATAGACCTAATGTACATGTAATCATCATGACACAGCAAGTTGTGTTTGTAACATCATAAACAGGGAGACAAGGAATACTATTATCCATAAAAATCTAACTACCTTGATTTAGGCACTTAAAAAAGTGCATGCTGCATTTTTTCATAAAGAAATCAGTAATCCCAGGGATTCGAAAATCCTGACTATTACACAGAAGTATAAGAAAATAGAAATAAAAGAACAACAGAAATAAAATTAATAAAACTGGAGTTACCTATGTGTTTTTCCATTTTTATTGGTTCTTTTTAATTATATATACCATCAGGATTAATTTTGACATGGTTTATAAAGGCAGGTGTGCATATTTTGAGAAGTTTAGAAACATTTATCAAATTTATATTCATGTATATACTTTTTACTAAATGTTTACAAGAAAAACAAATGTAGAAGGCTGGGGCTGTAGCTCAGTGGCAGAGCATTTGCCTACCATGTGTGAGGCAATGGGTTTGATCCTCAGCATTGCATAAAAATACACAAATAAAATAAAGGCATTCTCTCTGTTTACAACTATCAAAACATTAAAAAACAGAAATGTAGAAAATTATTAATTACCTTTCCAAATGATCCCTGACCAAGAACCTTGAGCAACTCAAATTGTGCAGGATCTGCTTTCTCATAACCTTCCTTAACATGATGAATGATAGGGATTTCTTTAACAACACCTTCATCCTGTAAAATATAAATTCAAATAATACTCAAATATAGTTCTAACATCTTGTGATTATCTTTTTAGGAAAGAAATCATATAATTTCCACCTCTCTAGATCTATCACATAGTTTTACAGGCTACTGATATGCCCATTTAACTGTTTTCTAACTTAACAAACAGATAAACCACAACCATCTTCCCTACCATATATTTTCCTGTAAATGGAAGCAAAATATAAAAATAAAATAAAATCTCTGCTTCAGTTTCCAAACAGAAAACAATAAATGAAAGTATTAACAACTAACCTTCTTAACACCCTCACTGTAGTGTGACTTATGAGGCAGAGGAATTTTTACATAAAAATCTTGTAAATTGTGAAGCATGGAAAAAAATATAAACTTCAAGAGTTACTTTCAATACTGTTTTACTATACCCATTTTAATATTTTTAATACCTTTATTTATTTAATTAATTTATCTTTATGTAGTGCTGAGGATCGAACTCAGGGCCTTGCACATGGTAAGCAAGCACTACACCGCTGAGCCACAACTCCAGCCCCCTGCCATTGGAATATTTAAGTGTACAATTAGACACATCAATGCAAAAGAAACTGGCATAAACAAAAGAAAATTTTGAGAACCCAAACAAATGTTTCCAGGCTATGGCCCTAGTATTATTAAATATTTGAATATAAATTACATGCCAGATTTTCTACCATCTGGACCAGGCAGAAAGGAAGCCACTCAGGAATATTTGAACCCTATGATACAGGGCTCCACTCAGCTGTGATGACTACACTCAAGTGAGTTTTGATTCTAATCCCTAAAGAACACATAGTTTCTAGGGGAAAAAAAACTCAGCTACTTTACTTATCACAAAATAACACATCTGGAAAGATGTGGAAGGGATCTTATCCAATCCTTTTGCACAGAGTTTTTCACATGAACGGTTAATCACAATGTCTAGAAGTTTGGAAAGTTTTCCATTATACCATATTAATTCTGGTTTGGATGGTAAGAATGGTCTTGATCAATTTACCCTTAAATTGACTGACCAATTAATGATGGCCGTGGCCAAAGTCAACAAGGGTATGGTCCCAAATTAGACAGGCTTCATGGCAGCTTAAATAACTGTCATGTTACATAAGAGATGTGCATAAACAGAGAAATTTTAGTTTTAGGTATTAGGAACCATTAATAAATGAGTCAGAAAAAAAATATTAATTGACTCACAAAGTATGTCAATGGATGTTTCTTATACATCAAAGTAACATTTAACCAGATAGTTTTAAGTATTCAGTGATTTATAAATATTTTTCTAAAAATAAGGGCTGAGGATGTGGCTCAATGATAGAGCATTTGCCTAAGCATGAGGCCATGGGTTCAATTTCTAGTGTTCACCAAAAGATACATAAATCTACTGTGTCTGCTTTACCATTTGAACAGGTCCTTTCTTTTTATAGTGGAGAATTTTTTTTAAAATGTAAAAGTACATGCTCTGCAGCTGACATTTTGGGAATGTATTGAATTATGGTGTATTTGTATGGATCTTTACAATATATACACACCCCAAACAACAATAGATTACATGTTTTATTAATATTATGGATGGTTTCACTACATATTATGCCTATATTAGTGGTCTTCAAAGTATGAAAGTTTCTGAAAGTTTCCTCCTGTGGGAAGAACATTAGAAGAGACAACAGACTTTCTTTTGCTCAGCTCTGCCATGCACAAACTAAGCACCTTTGACCACATCACAAACTGTACTCTACTTCAGTATTTTCAGATGACAAAGAGATCTTGTTAGATGGGTGTCTAGGCCTGGCTTCCATATTGAACACAATATACTATTTTCATGATTAAGAAGGCACTTCAAATACTTTGCATGTTTAAGATCATTATAATAAGCATGGATCATGATAACATTAGGTTTTTTAAGAAGTGCTCTAAGTGTGGAAACAACTATATGCTAATTAGGTTCACCAAACCTAAACAAGTCTTCCAAATAAAAAATGTTTATTCAACATCCCTTCCTCCCTTTATTAAAATCCACACATGCCCATCCTTTAAAACTGCAATATGTCTTTTGATTTTCAACAGAAGTACCCTAAAAGCTCCAAACAGTAAAATGCTAGTAGATAAGAAATAACACTATTCCTAGCAGGCAGCTATCGTATAATAATGTTATAATGGGTTCTATATCTTGTCTTTCTTTCCCACTGGACTGTTAGTTTCTTCAATGCAGTTATTATCACATTCATCTCTGTACTCCTAACATTTAGTATAATACTTGTTTGATCTTATGGGAGCAGAAAGCTAAACATTTTTATAAGAACAGAGGGAAGAAAAACATACTTTTAAAAAGAAAAACAGCTCTTACCAAACATATGAAAAAAGGTAATTCTGTTCAGTAACAGAGTAATTTGTTTCACTATATTAAGCATTTCATTATACATATTGAAATATTTTGTATACTTAAATGCATACAATAAAACAAATTGTTTTAAAAGGTAAAATTAACCAATAAGAAAAATCAAAATTATTTTAAACAGTTAAAAAATTATTGGTAGATATTGTACAGAACAGTGGGTTTCATTGTAGTATATTCATATGTGCATATAACATAATTTGATCAATTTCAATCCCTAGTATTTCCCCTTGTCCTTCCCTCTTCCAGGCCCCTGACCCCTTCCTCTATCCTAATGGTCTCCTTCTATTTTCATGAAATCTTTTTTCCCCTTTTTCCCCCTCTAACTTCCACATATGAGGAAAAAAAATATATAGTGCTATCTTTCCCAGTATGGCTTAAATGGATAAAACTGGAGATCCTTAAGCTAAATACTTTCTAAAAAGCAGAAAAAAAATATATCCAGAATTTATTTTTACTATACAAAGGAAACAGGAATTTCATTCTGGGTAATGGAACTCTGTGAATTTTGAATATCATTAACCTTCTGTTAAGCAATATTTATAAATTTAATAAAATGAGCATTTTCCCCTTAGAATGTGGATGATGTTAACAAACTTTTCCCATTATTCATAATTAGTACATTTATTACACTGTACTGTATTCAACACAAATGAAAGGCATAATAACCCATAACCTGTATTTTTAAATGCTGATATTAATTTAATACTTACCATTTGCCTTTTTAATAAATACATTTGTTCATAGGAAACTGAAAACTACACATTATATCACTAAATTATGGCAGGTTTGCCTTTAAGTAGATAGTACTTTATATTATAGTTTGTCTTTAAGCAGATAGTAGTATATAATGACCTATGTACACATAAGGATCAGCTACAGAAGAAAAATGCAATTGATACACTTGTTTGGATCACAGTTTGAGAGATTATGGTTCAGGAAAACTAGGGTAGGTAAGGCACGTCTACTTTTAAATCTCACCAGATTATTTTGATACTTGGCTAGATTTTAGGTGCTTCCAATGGGTAGCTAAAGATATATATATATATAGATATATATAGATATATATATATATATATATATATTTGCATATATATAACTTTATACTGAAGAAAGACACAAAATACATATACAGATATATTTAATGTATGCACATACGTATATGTAAGTGTTTATAGCTACTTATTACAGAGCTGTTTTTATCATTTGTATTCCACTTTTTTTTTACTGTCAAAGTAACTGATGCCCTCCTCTGTCACCATTTCCAACATTGTTTTTTCTTATTTCCTCAGTTTCCAGCCACATTCCTAACTATTGCTGAACATGTTGCAGCATGCCCAAGTTCATTGTTTACTATTATAATTTTGTTTTATTGTCTCTGAAACTCCCCCTTCGCTCTCTACCTCTCTACCTTTCTTCAGGTTCTATTCCAAAAGCTTAAGAGTAGCAACAATCTAGCTTTATATAAGGTAGTAGTTTACTTCTGAGTCTTCTGTTTTTCCCTAAGGGTAAATAATGCTCAAGAAAGTTCTTTATCTTTGTATAATAAATTTGTGGTATATCATCTTATATCCCCATGTATATACTCTTTTAAATTATACTCAAATAATTGACAACATTCATTAAGCAATATTCTTTATCAGACACTGCTACACACTGGGGATACAGAGGTAAAATGCTTAGAGACAGAGGAGTCTGTCAGAACCATATCCTTAAAGAAATAAAAACCCACAAGCATGTTATGGGCTGAATCAGGTCCCCTCAAAATTGACATGTTAAAGTCCTAACACCTAGTACCTTAGACTACGACCATATTTAGGGGCCTTTAAAGAGGTAATTCAGGCAATATGATGTCATAAAGGGTGGTGCTTAAACTAATAAGACTGATATCCTTCTAAGAAGAAGAAATTAAGACACATCCACACTGAAGAAAGATCATATAAAGGCACACAGTGAAAGGACAAGTTAAAGAAAATCCAACCCTGCCAGCATCTTGATCTCAGACTTAATAGACTCCAGAATTGTGACAAAATACATTTTCGTTGATTAAGCCATTTAGTCTATAGTACTTTGTAAGGGTAACCCTAGCAAACTCATAAATGCTATCTAATCTTAGTGGATCTATGAAAATAAAGCTGCTACTAGGAAATGAAGATTCAGAAACTACCAAACAAGAGACTACTATTCTATTCACATTAAATGATAAATCTAAGGCAGGAATGACTATAAGTTGGGTTAGTTCTTCCAAGCTTGAAGTAATTGTTTAGGGAAAAAACATGCCATTTCCACCACAAGAGAAACAGAATGATCAAACCTCTAAAATTTTTGATCATTTTTTAAAATTCAGGTGGAGAACAATGCTGCAACACTGAAAAAACATAATGATAAAGTAAAAAATTAACTGCCAAATACACTACTGCTCTGTTTATTTGAAAACTGATTTCTTTAGGAAAAACAAATCACTTGTTAAAGAGAAAGAGAAAGAGCTGATAACAACCATTAATAATGTACTATACCTGAATCACAACAGTTTCACAGGATTATGGAATTAACCTCCAAAAAACAAGTCAAAAGAGAGGGGAGGAAGTGG